GGCAGAAGAGATGTGGGGACTCCGCACCCATGAGGGAAATGGAGGAAGACTGAAATCTGAAAAAGAGCCAGGGTGCAGGGAGAAAACCAGGATGGGCTAGGCAAAGAAAATGGAGAAAAGATTGAATGTGGTGTCCAAGGAGGTGGCAAACCCAAGGGAAAGGGAAGGACTGGAACTGCTATGCAAGGAGACAAAGCCCAGAATGAAGACTCAAGAATGATTTAAGTCTAAAGCAGAAAGATTTGCAACCGTTGAACATGTTTCCCTTTGGAGACTGGAAAGAAAAGCAAGATTCGCCCCCCTTTTTTCCATTTCTCTCCTATGAACAAATAATTGTGAAATTCACTGGTCAAGTATATGTGCTCTCCTACTTCTGTCCTGAGGCACACAAGTACAGAGTACTACGCCACTTGGGCCAAGGATCAAACTCTTCTGGCAAGTGTCTTAGATGTCAGTGATACCACATCTTAAATTCCACCCAACCACCCCATTAGCCTCTTAGAAATTATACAAGAAAAAAAAAAAAGATAAATAATTAAAAGTGTGCAAAAACAAGTACTTGGAGATTAGCAAATGTCAGAATTAATTCAGCCCCTTAAGTAAGTATCCCCTTAGGTTCCCTTGTTTGTGGATTTTAGGGAACATGTAAAAAATCCCTGGGTTGAGTAGTGGGGGGATCAAGTTCTGTAGTTTTCACTGCAGATGGAAATGATGCGATAGTGGGGGGCTTTTCATTCTCCCTGAAATCCACAAACAAGGGACCACAGGCAGACCTATCATATCCAGCCACAGAACCTCTCTGAGGAAATATCAGGTTTCATTGAATCCATCCTAAAAACTCTTGTCACCCAAAGAGCAAGTTTTATCCAAGACACAACGGACTTTCTACAAAAACTTAAAAACAAAGACCGCCTTCCCAGCAACACCCTACTAGCTATCATGGATGTTACCAGCTTGTATACCAATATCCCACACCAGACTGGCATCCAAGCCTGCCTTGCTACCTACAAGAGCAAGATGCAACTCAGAGTAGACCCAAAGATATTACTGAACTAATATACTTCATCCTCACACACAAAACTTTACTTTTAATAACCAACACTTCCTCCAGACCATGGGCACACCTATGGGCACCAAAATGACCCCACAGTAGGCCAACCTTTTTAGGGGTCACCTGGAAGAAGAATTCCTCAAGAACTGCACAATCAAACCCATGCTATACTTAAAACGTATAGATGACATCATCCTCATTTGGACTGACAACTTGCAATCTCTGACTGATTTCCATCACAAATTCAATAATCATCACCCCTCCATCAGCCTCTCTCGAATACTCCAACACCAACATTTCCTTTTTAGACACTATGGTCAATATGCAGAATGGTAAAACACAAACCACCATACACAAGAAACCCACGGACCAACATACAGATCTTCACAGAACCAGCAATCACCCTAAACACACCAAGAAAACTGTAATATACAGCTAAGTGATACCACTGAATTTGCACTAAGAAGAACACCTGTGATCATCACCTCACAAATCTCAAAAGGGTTTCACTCAAGACGGACACTCCTCCAGACAAAGAGAGGGATCACTTTTGAAAGAGCCATCCAGATACCATGTGAAGAATTGGTGCAGTCCAAGAAGAATATCCCCATGAATTGCACACTATTACTTACACCATACCATCCTTCCCTAGAACCTATATGGAAAATCCTCAAACAACTGCAACCCATGCTAGAAGACGACCCAATTCTTAAAGAAATTTTCTCAAAACTACTCTAGCCTTTAAACAAGCACTGAACCTCGTCAATCTCATCACCAGAAACAAAATTCCTAAGGCCCAAAGCACACTGAATGGATCCAGTCCATGCCAGGACAAGAAATGTAAACCCTGCCAACATATCTCCACCACTCCCACCATCACTACACTCCACAAGAGAACCATCACCATTCCTGGATTTTACACACCTGCACCTCCAGAAATGTAATGCATCTCATCCAGTGCACTAAATGCCCGGATGGAAAATATGTACAAGAAACCAAACAACAGCTATACACCAGAATGAATGCACGCCAAAATCCATCGAAGCAGGAATAACCAATTACCTGTGGGTGCAAACTTCTCACAAGACCACTCCCTCTCCAATCTCTCAGTTCTAATCCTCAAAGGGAATCTACAAAACACCTTTTGCAGACCAGCCTATGAACTTCACTTCACAAGTCTACTGGATACAAGAAATCATGGACTAAATATAGACACTGGATTTATGCAACATTATAACCTGCCTGACATCCAATAACCCCAGATAACCTCTCTCTGTTTTATCAGCTACATTCCGTCACTAGGTCTACATTCCCTCCTTCCCCACCTTCCCAACTTACTGTCTCACACCTATTGTCTCCCATTGCCTCTGATCCTCACTGCCACACATTTGCATTTCCACAGACCTGCATTCTGCACATTGGCTTCTATTCCATCCAGGAGAGCATGAAACAACAGCAGACTCTCCCCATGCCTGAAGAACGGTGTTGTGCCCAAAAGCTTGCAAAGAACAATTTTTCCAACTATTTAGTTGGTCTAATAAAAGATATCACATTTACACAAAGAACCTTGTCTGCCTATGTCCTTTGACCAACACTGCTACAACCAACACCCCCGTAGCATTAGCTACTAGTACATTTTCCAGGACAGCTTCCATGGAATTCAGCTGTTGTGAATGCTTAGCACTTGGGCACATCATGCCCTGGGGTCTCAAGCAGGGCACCCTGAAAACAAGCTACAAAAAGATCAGAGATCATCTGAAGAATTTCCTATAATTACTTGCCTAGCATTACAAAGAGCTCCAAGAGAAATGCAAGGATACAAAGTAAGAGTGCTACTGACAATAGCCTCTTTCACTGTACAGCTCCAATCCATTCCCAGAGCAAAGCCATTCTGTGCACTAACTCCAGAAAGAATCCTGGTTGGGGAACACAGGGATGACTATAATCCAGCAGTGCCTCAACTGCTGACCTGCAGGCCAGAACCAACTCCCCAGCACCTTGATGTTCAGCCTACAGGGCTCTCCACTGATCTGTGGAGAACCCCACTGGTATTGCTCCTGTGTGATAGACCCAGTGTGCAGGGCAGCACAGGGACAGATACAGGTACAAAGGCCTGGGTAGAGGTGCTGTGGGGCCCCACATGCAGGGCTAGGGGGAAGCAGTACAGCGCCCCAGAGTCCTGATCCTCTTGCACGGAGCCTGGCAAAAGTAGCATAGTCCCAGGGCTCCAATACGTACTCATTGGCTGGGCAAGAGCAACATGGTCGATCCAGGTGTGGGGCCCAATTCTGCAGCATGGGGTCTGATCCAGCCCACAGACTCAGCACATGCTACTCATTTGGCCCTTGCATTCAAAAGGTTGAGCATAATCAAAGACTGCATTAAGACACACAAAGGGAACAAATTAAAAAGTATAAATGGGTAAATCTTGTTTCTGAGATCTTCTGGAGTGCTTGACTTTGCAACCTTAATAAATTGCTTTTGATACAGTCTGCTTTTCTAATCAGAAATATAGTAAGAGTATACTGAAGTGCCTTATGGAGTCCTGTCAAGGTTTTGCAACTGCTGGGCTACTTTTCCTGAACTTCTTCATCAGTGCATTTGCCAACTGCATTTTTAACCACAGGCACAGAGATCTGCTCTGAGCAGGGCTTTTAGAAGCTAATATGCTAACCTAGAAATCACATGTGAACTATGACTACTGCAATAGACCTGCCCTATTGTGGGAGAAATGTTACAGGTAGAAAAAAAAGTAATAATGAGAGATAATGTAAAACAATAGACTCATGACACCTACTATTCAACACTTCCTACAGTTTTCAAAAAACCACAAAAAACAACCCAACAGTCAAGAACTGCTGTCTAATCTAGTGAAGGTCTTTTCAAAAAACTGGAAAAAAAATGTTGGAATTTCAGTGTTTAAATCAAACACCACCTAGAGAATTATATTTATCATGAATCTGTATGAAAGCTGGTACTAATCGAACATAAGGGTGACGATTTACCACTGCGTATCTGCAACTTGAGACCAGAAACTTCTTCATACGTATATATATTAAGGGTTAGATTCACTAAAGGACCTCAAGCACCTAACTCACAGCCACTTGACCATAGCAGGGAAACCCAAAACCCTGTAGAACCACCTTAGCTCCCTCTACAATCAGTGTTCAGCATCTCACAATAGTGATCCAAAAAGCCACGTGCAGAACAAGAAGTTACTTGATTCTAGCCAACAAAAACACATTGAACAGAGGCATATCAAACCCCATTCATTTACAGAACTCTGACACCCAACTCAAAGCTGTAAGAAGATATCTCCATGTACCTGGGATCCAGAACCCAAAATATTCATCCATTCTTTCAGAGAAAGCCCCTTCGCAAAATACAATAAAATAGGAACTGGTAATGCCTTCCTTTTGTATAATAGCATAGTGTATTTCCCCCCACACCTCCATGAAACAGGAAGAAGCCAGAGCTAAAATTCTCTCTCTCTCTCATTTCTGAATCTAGATCAGGCTTAGACAAAACTCTAAGAGTTCAATGTGTAAATTCTCTAGGCACATAGCAGGGGCAGACATCAACCAGAAAGAGGCTTTTTGACTTAATTTTGGATACAGAGACCTCAGTTCCATCTAAGATCTACATTACATGTCAAAGTCCTTTATAATCTCCATCACTAAGAAATGAATTCATTTACATTATAAATCAATGCCATAACAGGTGTAGGCTAAATGGAGCTGAAATATTAGCTACAAAAACTTAGCTATTAAAGCATTCTACAGATTGCAATACCATTTCAAATATGCCAAAGTATACCTTACCTACAATATACATCATAAGCTATATATTTAATATAAAAAAGTGAAGTGATAAATACACTTCAAAATATGAAGCGCCATTTTAAATCGCTGTGTCCTGTTCCTCCTACTCGCACCACCAGTTTACTCACTTGTAGCCATGATACCTGGAGGACATGCTGGTATCCCATGATCAACTGCCCATCTGTAAGCTCCTTCACCAACTAAAAAACTAGGAAACACAGAAAAGGGAGTATAAACAAAAAACCCAAGAATATGTCCCCCTTCCCTTGCAATTTTTGCAGTTTGGTTAGGGTTTTTTTTATTATTATTATTATTTGCAAATGACCTGCTCTTGACACGAAGTCCCAACTACCATTCAGGCTGGCAGGTTTACTTAGTTTACTGTGAATACATGCAACTCTGCATCAAATACCCCTTTTATCTTCTTCCCACCCCCACCACCCACACACTTGCAGGAGTTACCAAATGGAACCATCTTTTACAGCAAACAAACACAGAACACACTGCTCTCTAACCTTTTTAAGATTTTGAACAGCATACAAAAAGTAAATGGGGTTAAATGGCAAGGCATTTCCAATTAAATTAACATATACCATAAAAATCTGATAAAGGGTTTGCTGCCCTTAACCTGGTAAATGTAGCCTTAAAGATATAAGTTTTCTTCTAAAAGTCTGTCAGAGTTCCATCAAATGTTTTGCAAAAAAAGCCAGGGCACTGAATCCACCGAATGTTAAAAAGATTTGCAAAGTTGCATTTAAATTTTGCTCAAATTGGTTTGTTTCACTAAATGGATTAAAGTAGCAATACAGTATGCAGTGTCATGTCTGTGCATGTTAAAAATTAGAATTAGAATGAACAGGTTTCAGAAATGGAAATAGTCAAGTACAATATTCCAGTTAATTACCAGTGTTATATGTATGTCTATAATACCCAATAATTGCATGACACAGGTCAAGTTACGCACTGCAAAAATGTACATAGCCTAGAATGTCACACTTCAACTCTCCTACCTAGTTTTTCTCTCTTTTCTATGAGGATATTACTAATACAAACACCTTTATGAAGCAGATTAGATAGAAGTTTTAAAATTTTACAATTGAGAAAGAAGAAGGAAAGGAAAAGGGACAAGCAAAGCCATAAACTCTGGGAACTTGACTGCTTGTTTTTTAAGCTATTTGGTAAATCAGAATTGCCCAAGAACAACACCATCAACTTTTGTCATGGGATAGCTTAACATTTGACTTCCACAGGTTTTATTGTCTTGCATTTTGAGACTGTTTCAGCCCTTCCAACTTTCAATAATGTAACCAAGGCAAGAAAGAAACATGAAAAGACAAAAAATGTGTAATAAGTTACAGTACAAGTTAAATCAAATATGTTCATTTGTTTGCTGGACAGCACCTGATAAATATTTACTGCTTAATATATACTAGAGAGTAAGTTAGCAGGCAATTCAGGAGAACTCATCTGTTTCCTTATTGCCTAACACCTCAAAAATAAGTTTGACACTTAAGCAATAAACAGAGATGGAAGTTATTTTTCAGCAGTTTTCCGAGCCAAGTCCAAATAAGAGTATTTTTCTTTAAAAAGGTAATATATACCTGCTATAGTAGTGAAGTCCAAGAGAGTACTATTTAGACTATGTAATCAACAATACAACCCCAACAAGTGGCTGACTGAAATATCCCATCTACTATAGAATAAGTTACAGGCAAAGAGAACATGCTCAAGTACAGGTTTCCCCTTGCTTTATGAAGGTTCTGTATGTGCAGATTTGTTCTTATGCAATGACCCTTTTTATACCAAAAATTCTTTATATGAGAGGTAAATTCACTCTTATACAATCAGTGTGGTGGAAGCCTGCAGTCAGCTGCTTTGTGCGATGCACTGTGGGAGTGATGAGCACTAAAATAGTCTCCTGTGTGATATGTGCTCCTCGTTCATTGTCTGACACGTTTCTGTAGTTGCCATCCCCATTATGATAGTGCCCTGTGCTTGTATGTACTGTCTGCTGTTGGCGAGTACCAAAACTGTCTTGTAAAATTGGTAGAAATGGGCCTGGGGGCCAGCACAGTTGAGGTTGTGGAACGTATCCCTATTTGTTACATTGTAAAGTGGGTTCCCTTTATGCAAATTTGAGTTATGCGCCATTTTCCAGGAACAAATGTACAGCATAAAACGAGGGAAACCTCTATTAGAGTAGTATGTATGGTGACTACAACAGCTGAGAAACAAACAAAAAAAAATTCTTAGGAGTTCTACGCTTCTTTTATGCACTTCTTGGAAATATAAGAGCTACTGCTTCACTTAAGAAGCAGATTGGGCCTCTAAGCATTCATGGCATATCAAAACTGATGCAGAAGAAAACAAGGTTTCTTTTTTATTTTTTAAACTCCTGCTAGATTATGCCTTCAGGTGGATACTCACTCCTGAGTATCTGCTCCCTCATAAGAAAATCCAGAACCTACCTATCACAGAAGCGATGCACAAATCACAAGTTCACTGACCACTACTGGAACTTTTCATTTCCTCATTTTGAGAGACACAGAGTGCATCCACACATGCAATTAATCTGCAGCAATACACTCCAGTGCATACTGCGCTGGAGTTTATTGCGCCTAGATGCCACACTTACACATGCGCCCAGGACCACAGCACACTGAGCCAGGTCAGAGCAGCCCCAGCTGGCAGGGGACCCGGGAAGGTCAGCCTATCAGCCCAGGGCTGCTCCAACACAGCTCAACGTGCTGCAGAGGGGCTGGCTGGGACACAAAGGTGCTTCTGTGTGGGGCTAGCCAACAGACAACCCCCTACCCTAAAGCTCCCTTCTGCCCCAGTCAGCCGTATCAGCATCTACACATGTTGTCCCCCAGTAAAGAACTCCACCGCAGGCTAGTACTTGTGGATGTGTGTAAACAAAACGGGGGCCCTAAATTGAAGCGGTGGATTTTAAAAAACACCACTTTGATTTAGGGCCAATTAAACCCCCGCATTCTGCACACACCCTGCTGACTTACCTGCCTCTCCAGTAGGGAAGGAAGGGCAAGCTGCCAGTGGGCAGAGTGATCCCTGGGCTGCAGTAGGGCTGGTGCGCTTCCCTCTGAGGCAGCAGCAGCACCCCCCCAGGCAGCACCCACCAGCAGGCATCTGGCTCAGGCAATCCCAGGGGTCATCACAGCCACAGAGGGAAGCACCAGGCCCCTGCACAGCTCAGGCAGGCTCCGGGGGGTGGGGTTGGGGGTGGGGAGAAAAGAGATCAAGCACACTGCTTTTCTTGGGCAGAGCCTACTTTCCCAGGCTGCTGCCAGGCTGCCTGCAGGGCTTCCTGCTGAGTCACAGAGCTGCATGGAGCCTGGTGATTCGCTCCGCAACTACAGGGGCAGCAAATGAAAACTTCTCGAAG